GGAACGGGCGACAGATTGAGGAGAGGAGAGACAGGGTATAGGTAGTCGAAGGTAGAAAAAACTCTCACCGTAAGCCCTTGAGGAGAAAGCTGATGGATCTCGATCCTCGTGCATTTTCTAAGAAAAAGAAGTTAAGGACAAAATCTTCCTCTGTCCCGAAGACAATTGGGGGGAAGAGGGAGAATAAAATCCGATGTACAAAGAGTGTAGGTTGCAACAGGAAAGTATAGCATCCCGACCACAGGAGAGCAAAATACAGAGTCCCACAGGAGTCCCACCGCAGGTGTTCCACAGAAGTCAAGAGTGTCAAGTCCCACAGGAACCCCATAGAAGAGCAAAGTATCGAGTTCTGGAGTCCCACAGGAGTCCCACAGGAGTCCCACCACAGGACTTTCCACAGGAGTCCCACAGGAGTCGCACACTGAAAACAGTGCCGAGTCCCACAGGAGAGCATGCCGTGTCCCACTCCTGTGCGTGGTGGGAAGTGAACAGACTGTCCAGTCCCACAGGAAAGTGTGGGACTTCTGTAGTGGAACTTCTCCTGTGGGACTTCTGTGGTGGAACTTCTCCTGTGGGACTTCTGCGGTGGAACTTCTATTGCTTGTCACCAAATAGTCAGTGGTGTCCCATGGTGCCTAAGAGAAAATCCTTTTATTCACGACAAAGCAGAAAACATTGTTTAATTAACTTAAATAACTATCAGAATGAAAATAACAGCATATAATCTTAGAATGAAGTACATAATATAACATGAATAAGCACATGTCGGAAGAAGAACAAGCGCAACATGAACAATGCAGTGCATGCAGACAACATACAGCATTCCAGACAACGACCATTTGCTCTCCGTACACGGACACACTCAGGAACCTCATGCAGACCCACCCACACTCCCATTCTGTCATTCATTCACAACATCATTAATGAAAACAAAAACAAAGAGGCGCAGACCACTGTGTGTGTTCAATGACCCAGTTCAGAATACCTATTACAGTATTACCCCCCTTTTCCCGTACCCATTTACTATATTATACCCCCCACCCCCCACCCCCCCCTCTCTCTGAGTTTTCCCGTGCACATTTTGCTTCAAAACCTGTCCTTCAGCCCAATCAAATCATCATTGGAGAAAAGGAAGCCAGATCAAAAACAATGACAAGCGGTAAATGGGCATTACCCCCCGGGCCCTTTTTCAGTCAACCTTTGTGTTTTCCTTTTTCTTTTCCGTTCTCGATTTATTCATGCATGCCATCCTTGCGCAGGGGCGATGCTAAGCCCTAATCTTCTCTGCATCGTTCCAGTTCTAGGATGATCTTTCTTTTTTACTTTTCTAAGTTTTCTTTCTTTCTCTTCCTTTTTTTTTTTCTTTCTTTCCTTTTGGAGCAGGGTTGCATACCCACCGACCGCCTACCCCGACCACCGACCATATTGCAGCCGACCAGTAGGGCCGACCGGTCAGAAAACAGCCATCCGCTCTTTTTTTTTCAAATCTGAGTTGGGGGCTGTATTGCACTTGCGGGGGCCGACCGGTCAGAAAACAGCCATCCACTCTTTTTTTTTCAAATCTGAGTTGGGGGCTG